CTTAAATGAATTGAAGTAGTATAATGCAGTGAATCGAATTTTTCATTTGTTGATGTATAATTGCTGTTGGTGTTGTCGTGAAATTCTTCCATTGATAAAGACAATGATTTTGACTTATGATAAAAGTATTGCAAATTATTATTATTATTGTTATTATTATTATTTCCACTGTCATGAGTTGTATTCATTATACGATCGATAAAATTCATTCGTAGACTTGACCAACTACAGTCATAATCATCTTTTTCATGAAATGACAGAGTATTTTGTCTTCTCCATATGAAATCATTACCACTGTCATTTATTAATTGGGTGGCATCATCTTTGTTATTATCGTTATTATTATTACTACTGGTCTCATTGTTCAGCAAAGGAGAAATCGATGAGTTACACTTCAATGGATCGATTAGATCAATAACATAACCAACTGTTTTCAGGTTACCATTCCAGGTGAGTATAAATTGACGACCGATTTCAACGCATTCAGGTTGTCGTGTAAAGCGTACATAAAGATGACTTGTATCCTCTAAGTGATTCTATAAAAAGATAGTCGAAAAAAAGGAAATACAGGGAAGAGAATAATATAAATTTAAATAAATAAATAAGGGAATTTGAGAGAAATGTGGTCAAGAGCTGACCCCACCCACCCCTCCACCCCCAATGGGGTCATTGTGTATAAGAGATAATAATCATTATTGACCAACTGAGTTCTATTTACCGTATTACATCATCGGCATCGTCATCACCCTTTTTATTTGACCTCTTGCATATCAAATTTTGGTCTCCTCTTATCTGTAACTAAGTAATTTTTTGTTACCACCCTCAAACGAGAATTTTCCAGATGCCTAACTGGACAGGTGTTGAATCACTCCTAGTACACGTATTCTCTCTCAGTTGATTCAATAAACAAAACTTCCGTTATCAATCTCTCCCTCAATTCACCCTGCTGTTACATTATATTTTAAAACTGTCATCTTACCCCATCCTATTGTGTGGTTGTGTGTAACTGCATGTAGTGAGAGCTATAGCTGAACTATTCTCTAGATTTCTTATCTTAGTCGGGTCAACTAATCTAGATTTCTCCGCTAGGTTTTTATGTTCGGCTAGTCTGACTACCCCTGTTCTACTACTCTGACCTATGTATTTTATCTGACAATTATTCCAGCAGGGCATTAGATAAACTAAATTGTTTTGTTTTAAAGGCTCCACAGGATTGATCTCGTAACCGACAAAGCTTGTTTCTAATTCAGTTCGTGGGTGGTTTGAATGGCGGCAACTTTTCTCCCTGCACGCATTGTTAAGAATTCTCCGGCGTAAGGTTTCCGACGTTCCTTCCTTTTATGGAATTACTACTGATGATTTAGATTCCTTATTGTTGGTGTTGTCATTACCTTGCGCATGTTTGACATGCATGTCGTCATTATATATATATATATATATATATATATATATATATATCACAACCACACATACGCACACTCACACACACACATAAACAGAAATGAAACACGTGTATTTGTCTATTCTAGGCAAAACAGATGATTATTATTATTATTATTACTAGTGGTGGTGGTAATTGTTGTAGTAGTGCAGCAAGTGGTATTTATTTATTATTGTTCTGATGGGGAAGGCATGTGTTAAACGCACACACACACTCACATTGTTTGTGCCACACCACTTAGCACCAGAACAATAGTCTCATATGATTTATGGAACACAGGACATACACACGCACCCACAAACAGTAATCATAACAATACCATAAGTCACATAAATTTTTACAAAATATAAAAAGAAACACAGAAGGAATAGAAAAAATAATAATAATAATAATGATCAGCTGATTGATTAATGCAAATAAACAGCCCAAAAAAAGAAGAAGACAAAAAAACACAAGAAGAAGGCAAGAATAAGAGACTTGGTTTCAAGTTGGATCAAGGATAGAGAGAAGGCTTGGTAACTAGCGTTTTTCATCCTTGTTTAGAGACTCTCCAGTAGCCGTATATGGACTAATGTATGTATCTTCACTCTCCGACAGATCCTAGAACATAGGCACACTTTTAGGCGTCCAACAATTGCCATATTTCTTGACTTGAAGGAGGCCTTCGACTCCGTGGATCGAGAAGTTCTATGGCAATGTTTGACTATGAAGGGAGTGCCAAGAAAGTACATTGCACTAATCAAGGCACTCTACTCAAACTCACGTAGCTGTGTAAGGGCTTATGGGGAATTATCATCTGAATTGATAACAACCAGTGGTGTCCGTCAAGGATGTCCACTTTCCCCTTTTCTGTTTAACTTCATCATAGATATGCTAATGGAAGTATCCTTAACTGAACTTAACGACTTAGGAATCGACTTGTTACCAGGGAATAGTCTTATGGACTTAGAATACGCAGACGACATAGTCCTGTTAGGGGAGGACGCTGACAAAATGCAGAGTCTTCTGAACACCTTGAGCAGCAATCTTCGTATGTTTGGCATGCGATTCGCCCCTGTGAAATGTAAGATGCTGCTACAGGACTGGACTACGTCAACTCCTAGCTTAGTGATAGGGAGTGAAGTGATAGAACATGTTGACCACTTCACCTATTTGGGAAGTTGTATCAGCACCAACGGATTGATTGATTGGTGACGAAATCACAGCACGGATCCAGAAAGCTTGGGCTGCTTTCGCTAACTTACACCGTCTCTGGCGTAGGCGTGACATCCGACTATCAACCAAGGGACGTGTGTACTGCTCAGCAGTCCGCTCCGTCCTTCCCTACGGCTCTGAAACATGGCCAATACGAGTTGAAGACATGTAAAGGTTGACTGTTTCTGATCATAGATGTTTACGATCTCTTTCTCGCGTTAGGTGGCATAATAAGGTAAGTAATGTTGACGTTAGGCGTAGTGTTGGGCAAAGAGGGAAAATCAATCGAAGAGGCTATGAAGTTACATCGATTGAGATGGTTAGGCCACGTGCTCCGCATGCATGACCACGTTAAGTATGCTGTGATTGGTCCTTGAGTTCTTCAAGCTTGAGCTCTGTACCTGTTTTTTCTGATGACCAAGATATGGGGCGTAAACACTGATGTAAATTGCTGTCTACAAATTCTGGCTAGCAGACAGCTCTCACCACAGATACACTCTAATAAATATTTAGACTTTAGTTCATCCCATTCCAGAATCGGTAAAGAAAGATAGGTTTAGTTAGGTGTCTATATAGTAATAATAATAATAACAAAGGGAAAGAGATAATAGAGAAGATTTGCAGCTCAGGTGGATGATTTGCAATTAGTAATGCTCTATGAAGAGGATGTTGGTTTATTTGCGGCGCTTTCGTTGCCCTTCTGGACAACATCCCCCTTCAGTGCAACTTTTAACATAAAGTGAAGTGATTCAAATTTTTTCATGAGTAATAGAATTGCGTCTCCCGGTAACCATCTTTATATATGTATTGGTCATTTTCTATTGACTTGGATTTTAAACTTTCTCGTCACACGATTTACTTTTTATTAGTTGGTAGATTTGGTCTATTTTAATATGTTTGTTAATCACTGATTCGCTTGGGTACCAGGTTTCTAGGAATTCCCTGACTGCACTTTTGCTATTTCCTCTGTCTAGGATTTCGATATTATCCCAATCAAACTGATGTCCATAATTATCTATATGCATTGATATGAAACAGGAATATATATCCTGTCTTTTCACGGCTTATTTGTGTTCCTGGATTCTGATTCGAAGGGGACGCCCACTTTGGCCAATGTTATGCCTGTTACAGTTCATACATGCAATTTATTTTGTAAATGGTATTAATTTTATCTCCTTTTTCTGTTGGATCTTTCGGTTTGCACAATATCGAATGAAGTGATTGTGTTGACTGGCTTGTGTGCTATATCTATTTCAAATGGTCTCAATATTCTAGCTGTTATTTCAGAGATATTTTTTATATATGATAGGATGAATTTTCTTGTGTCCAGAAGGACGACGAAAGCTCGGCAACTAAACCAATCAGCTCTTCACAGAACACTACTAATTGCAAGGAGGAAAGAGCGAAACCAAACAAATAAAGAAAATATTACTAGTCAATTACTAAATACCCATCAGAATTTATTCAGAAATGTATGAAGACCCATAGAAAAAATAAGATTAGTATTGGAAATGACAAAGATAACGAAGAAAATAGTATAGAATTGGTAAATAAATATATATTTTTTATTCCTTTAAGTTCCCAGTGAAACATAAGCCTTCAAGCTAGAGGCTTGAAGTTTCTGTAGCAGTGGTGATTATTTTTACGGGATGGAGTTGCTAGCCTCATACCCAACCTTCCCTCTTTACCAGTCTTATTACTGGTTATGCGGGTTAAAGGAGTGAGTCGCTTGGGAATTGAACCCCGAACCAACTGCATAGTTGGGGAGTATTCTACCGCTGTGCCCCACCGACGCAATAAAGACTGTCAGTGAAGTCAATTACATAGGTCGGCTGGACCACCGATAAGAAGAATCTAGAAGATCTGGACTTTGCGTGTGGATAAGTCTAATGTCACACAAATTCGAAGACTTGAAGGCGAAAACCAACAAACTGGACGAAAAGGCTGGCGGCGACGACAGAATTCCAGGTGAAGGTAGAGAAGACGGAGGTAATGAAGGTAACCAACCACCATCAACAGCAACAACAACAGCAACCAGCACCAATCACCGTCAACGGAAGTGATTTAACAGAGGTTACCTACTTCACTTATCTAGGAAACATCATTTCAACTACGGGGGGGACAGGGAGGCAATATACTCCTTCATCTATCTGGAACCAGTTTGGAAATCTTCTGCATTCCGTCTCAGTATAAAGAACAAGATTCGGGTTTTCAACACTAATATCAAGTCGACCCTTCTATACGGGTCAGAAACCTGCACTGCGTGCGTGTCACGAAAGGGATTTCCAACAGCTTGCTGCAGACTTTTACCAACAGCTGCCTTCTCCGGCTCCTTCCACACTCAAAGCCAAATGGTCGGCTGACCGGAGACAATGAGCAAGAAGAAACTCTGGTTGGCAAAAAACCAACAAGCAAGAGCCAATTGCTCAACAAATATGTACGAGAAAATGGAGATGGATGGATCGGGCATACATTGAGGAGGCCGTCGAATGACATCGCACACTAGGCCATCGGTCGAGTGGAATCCCAATGGGGGGCGACGAATAAGTCATCGGTGCGAGGGTGACATGGAAGAGATGAGAGTTTATGGCCAATCATGGACACAGCTGAAGAGGACGGCAGACAACAGAACAAAGTGGATAAATGTAGTCGAAGCCATTTGGTCCATTCGGAACCATAGAGAATAAAAATAATAATAATAATATACACACTACTAAAATAATACAAACCTTATTGTTCAAATTGTTATTATTATTTCCACACTGATCATATTGACTTCGTTGATACTCTTCAATCCTCCCGTCAATAACAACACCAGTTTGACATATACAACCAGCATAGATAGTAACACGTTGACCAATCGATGGTATCGGTGTTAAAATAATCGGTGGTGTACCCAATTTAAAGGAAACAATCGGTAGACGACAGGTTAAGCGTAGCTTCACAGTCCAGACAACTGAAAAATTGATAGAATCTTTTGATGCTAACGGTTGATTCCAAATGAATGCATCATACGAAGATGGCGAAGGCGAAAACGGTGATGACGTCGAGGAGGAGGAGGCGGAGGACGATGAGGATAGAGGAGAAGGATTTGAAGATGTAGACGGGGAATTTGGATTTGTAGGGGATAACAATAGTAATGATGATGATGATTTCGAGAGATGTTTATTGATTAACATTGGATAAGTGAGTAGAACCATGCCACGACGTAGTTTGACAGATGAATGCCACATCTTATCGGTATTACTATCATCATTCGGTTCTTCATTGTAGGGGATATTCTCTTCATTCCCAGTGTTATCATTATCATTCCCAAATAATAAATATTGTGATCGTTTATTTTGTTGATTCATAATACTATTTGTGTTATTATTATTATTATTATTATAAGATGAAGAGATATTTTGTAATATATGAATACGTTGCGTATAGCTTAGAGTGTTCCACGACTTCGGTAAGAAATGTACCTCCATTGAAGCCAACTGACCAGCATAGACAATTTCATGAACTTGACGATTATGCATTAGACTGACTATTTGAACTGGATAAAAATCACCAAACTGTAGGAGCGTGGGGGGCAGGAGGAAATACACACAAATACAAACATTTAGAAACAATAATTAATTCGTATAACTCAATAATAGTCAGTCAATATATTTTTTTATTTTTATTATTTTTATTTTTGATTACAGCTTAATGCCACACAGTATTTTCAGTACAAGTATGGAATTTTCAGCTTGGATATCGGTAGCCCAAATTTTGCAGGCCGACCATAGATATCGGGTGTGCGTCGGCAGGGGATCGAACCCCGGACCATGTGCATGGTCGGCGAGAATCCTAACCACTGTGCCACCGACGCACATATAAGTATAAAACTTGGGCACTGCGGCGGTAGAATATAACTCCATTATGGATAAGATTTTAATTTGATAAATCACACAGTGTTTGTTGCACAGTAATATTAACTGATGACCACCTTTCGAGCACAAACTATTACTGCTCATAATCATATCAAGACACTCACTCGCACAACTCTCTTGCTCCATTTATATACATGAGTGGAATTGATGATTAGACATTTGATTAAAAACCATTACAATATAAAGTACATTCAGAAATAATAATATGAGTGTTATCGACCAAATACAATCAGATGGGAAATAAGACGAGTGTTTTTATAGTCAAAATAAATAAGTAACTTGTTAGAATGTTGTGATGTATGTGAATTGAAATAGAATTTTGAGATTATTTATTATCCTCCTCTGATTTGACTGACTGGTGGTGATAATCTGTCTGTCTGTTTTCGACATAGAACTTTGCACATATGTGCAGCAGTTCAAGTCGCCACACTCCATGTAGCACACAAAGCAAGAGAAGAAAGTAGGAGAAATGTATAATATAGACAGTAAACAGAGGTGTGGGACAAAGGACTAGTAATAACGGAGAACGAAACAGTTTCATTGGAAATCATAAGTCACAAGGAGTGGATGCATCTCCACCAGCCATTGAGAACGATTTTGAGCCATGTCACCAATTGTTTCCAACCATTGGTTTTTACTATCCCGAGGACCCCAACCAGACATGAAGTCTACACCTTCCTACGTGGCCAGCTTAAACTAACTGTTGTAGACTTCATTGACTGGTGCCATGTTTTGGTATGACCGCCACTAGCTCTTTTCCAACCTGACCTTATTTCAGCTAACATTGTCCGTCAGTCGAGGAAGGCGATGGCTAGGCATACGTAACACATGTCCTCACCATCTCAATCGGTATAACTTCACAACTTCATCTGTTGATTTCCCCTCCTTACTTAGCACTCGACGCTTAATCAACTCAATATTGCTCACCCTATTATGCCACTTAACATGGGAGATAGAACGCAGGCACCTATGATCAAAGACAGCTAGCCAGGCTTTTCATGTCTTCCACTCTCAATGGCCAGGTCTCACAGCCATAAAGGAGGACGAAGCAGACTGCTGCTGAGTCGTACACCGGCCCTTTGATCGACAGTCAGCCGGATATCACGTCTACTAAGCCAGAGATGGCGTAAACTGGCATATGCGAGACTAGCCCTCTGAATCCGTGATGAGATTTCGTTAGCGATCAACCCATTGGAGTTGGTTGATGCGAATTCCCAAGTAAGTGAAGCGATCTACGTGGTCTACCACTTCACTCCTTATTTCTAAACTAGGAGTCAGTGTAGTCCAGTCCCGTAGCCTGATCATCTTACATTTGACAGCAGGAGCGAGTCGCATGCCAAATATTCGTAGATTGCAGCCCAAGGCGACATCCCGACGTTACCACTGAACTATTCGGGATGGCAAATGACCTCCTGTAGGACTGACACAACTAAGTTTGTACCAAACAAAGGACTGGACACACATTACACTAGTTACCACCAGCTAGAGTCCAATCAAAGTAGCTACATAAAAATATCACGGTAATGATAATAAAAACACAGGTGAGCATCTAAGAGAAGACACGATCAACTTACATGATCAGGACCAAGCCACAGTATTTGATTATTCAACAACTGACCAAGTTGTACACGTCCAACTAGAACGGGATTACACACTCCCGGGATTTGTGTATACACTTGATTTATCCAAAACAGCGTACCATTGAAATCTCGATATGTTTTAATAATTTTTATTTCTTCACTGATTTTATTTAACATTAGCTGAATTTGATTTTCATTTGAGGCAAGAAAAATATCTGTCGGATTTAAAGATTGCACTTGTTTAACATGTTCAGTGGTGTTGTTCAAGGGTTGATTTGATGTAGGCTGTATTTTTTCTTGTTTTAATGATAATCCCCCGTCGATTGATTGATTTAAACAACTTAAACGACTTAAAAATTTAATTAAATGATCAATTCCTTGACCAGTTACAGAGGAAACAGGAAAAAATGGTGGCATACACTGACTTCCGTTTGGATCTCTGTCAAAAATAAAGAAGACTTTTGAAAAGCAAATGTCATAAACATCAAAGTAATGGCTATCATGAAACAATATTGTGACGCTGTAACAAAATAATATTTAAGACGAATTTTGATAGATGGCCTCCTCCGGGGTCGTAAATGACTTTGGTACAGTCAAGAGTGGATAAGACACCCCAGTCTTTCTCATATGGTCATGCGTCCGCAGCCTCGGCTAGATAAATTATATTCACTGGCACGCACAGGGCTAGTACGCAAACGTTCAATGCTCATCACTAGACTGGTGGAGATATGGGAGTTCCGATTACAAATCTGTCCTCCTGGGTTCCGAGTAAAACATATCTATGTACATATTAGGCTAAATGGTCACAAAGAATTAGCAACAAGAAACTCTGGCTAGGAACAAACCAACCAAGAGCCGATCGCTCGACAAATATGTGGGAGAAATTGGAGATGGATAGATCGGGAGTATGTCGAGAGGGTTGTCAAGTGACATCACAGAGACCAGGCCATAGCACGAGTGGAATCCCAATCGGAAGCGACAAGTGGGTCATCGGTGTAAAGGTGACATGGAGGAGGTCGTGCGAGCTGGAGGAGATGAGAGATTACGGTCAATCGTGGATCCAGATGAAGAGAACAGCAGAAAATACAACAAAGGGGAGGTATGTTGTCGAAGCCCCATGTTCCAATCGGAACCAAAGGGAGTAATAATATATAACGTAAGTTATAAAGCCGTGTGTGACGGACTGACTGGTTTCAACATAGAACTACTTTGCACCGATGTGCAGCAGTTCGAGTCGCCACACTTCACTCAGCACACAAAGCAACAGAAGAAATTAAAAAGAAATGCAAAATGGAGACAATAAAGAGAGATATAAGACTAAAAGAATAGTAATATGGAAGAACAATATAGTTTTATTGGATATTATAAATCACAAGGAGTGGATGCATCTGCACTAGCCATTCAGAACGATTTTGAGCTATATTGTCAATTGTCTCCAGCCTTCATTGGTGTTTACCGTCCCGAAGACCCCAACCAGGAATTCTACATCTTCCTACGTGACTAGCTTACACTAACTGTTGTGGATTTGATTGACTGATGAAGCTATGTTTTGGTTTCACCAGCACTATTTCTTTTCCAAACTGACCCTATGTCAGCTAGGATTGCCCGTTGTCGAGGAAGGCGATGGCTAGGAATGCATGTGTAACACATGTCCTAACCACTTCAATCGATGTAACTTCACAGCCTCCTCTATTGATTTCCTCTCTTTACCTAGCACTCAACCTATGCCTAACTTCAATATTGCTCACTCTATTATACCACTTCACATGGGAGATAGAATGTGTGACTAAACAGATATGATTATGGGTGGCAATAATTTATGCTCGAATCCTTATCATCCGGTTAATAATGCTGCCCCACTGTGGAATATTTGAAATAAACTTATCTAAGAAGGCATCAGTCCCCCACCCTCCATCTAGTTACATTGGATTTTAATATTGTCATCCCGTCCAGTCCTATCGTATCATTGTGTATGATTATGTGTGACTGCATATAGTGCTATAGCTTAGCTAGATTTCCTATTTCACTAGGGTCATCTAATCTAGATTTTGTTAGGTTTCTGTGCTCTGCTAATCTAATTGACACAGTTCTATTATTTTGATTGGACACTAGTAACTAGTGTAACGTGTCTAGTCTTCTGTTTAGTGCAGACTGAATTCTATCAGTCAGCTTTGCAATGTGGCCAACTGGCTGGATTCAACATAGAACTTGGCACCGAAGTGCAGCATTCTAGGTAGTTCGCCATCCCGGTGCACATTGATTTCATGATATTACATATTTGGAGGCAATCAGCAGGAAGCATTCGACACACTTAGGGTTTCGTGCTAGTTAGCACTCACCAGTCAGCAAGGCGTATCTGCAACCTTAAAGGAACTCATATCCCTCCTCTCTGAGATTCGAACCCGCGTCACCCACGGAGTGCTTCATTCAGGGAGGTTACCACTGAGCCAGTTATCTGGGCTCGAGATTGACCTCCTGTAGGACTGTAGTGGGTATTTTGATTGGACACTAGTAACTAGAATGGTAACCACATTACGAACCTAACTTATAGAATTCAGTCTGCACCAAAGAAAGGACTAAACACGTCACACTAGTTACTAGTGTCCAATCAAAATACCCACTACAGTCCTATAGGAGGTCAATCGCGATCCCGAATAGCTTAGTGGTTACGTCTTTGACTGTCGCACTCACTGGGTGATGCGGGTTCGAATTTCAGAAGAGACATGACTTCCTTCGAAGTGCTTGCAGATACGCCTTGCTGACGAGTGCCAACTAGCACGAAACCTAGACCCAAGGCTTCCTGCCAATTGCCTCCAACTATCTAACAGTTTAACTATTTTGGCCTATGTATTTCACCTGACAATCATTCCAGCAGGGTAGTAGGGCTCCATAGGATGAACTTGTTCTGATTAACTTTATAGGTTTGAATGCCACTTTTATCCCCGTAAAGTTTTCGAAGTTCCTTCTTTGGATGAAAGTACTACTGATGATTTGTATTCCTTATTATTGGGTTTTGCCATCATCATTCCGTGTATATTTTGTCATTATGCTTGTTAATATCAATATTGTTGTCAATTTCATTTTTACATTTTCCTACACACTTCCTGATTAATTTATTAGGGTAATTATTAATTAAGTCTCAAAGCTTCTCTAATATGCCTAACTTTCTGTCTCACATATTTCCTTGGTACTATTTTATTCTTCTATTCTGACCGATTGCTTGAACATTTCGCCAAGCCTATTTTTACTGACATACGGTAGGATGAGCCAAAATCTAAATATCCGTTTGAATGTGTGTAGGATATCTGTATTGGTGTGGTATTGTGGTGAGAGCCGGCTGTGAACAAGACAAAATTGTAGACAACAATTTACGTCAATGTGCTCCATCCCGAATCGGGGTCATGAGAAAAAAAACACTAACATAGCTTAACCTTGAGGAACTCATCAACCAATCATAACAGACTTGACGTGTGCAAATACGATTCGCAGATTTATGACTTAACTTTCTGAGAAACAATCACAAGTAATACAGAATAACCTTCAGCAGGAAAACAACCAATCAAAAGACGTTGCTCTTCTGCTAACAATAACGTGTATAAATATCTATAAACATCTGTTGATTTTCTAAATAAACGATGTATTGCCTGGCGCTTTTCTTCTGTCATTACAATACTAGTAGCGATAATAATAATCACTTTATTCCAAACAATAATAATAACAATTATACAGAATGGAATTTTCAGCGCTTTTTATACATATTGCAACAATTTACCTCCTTTTACATAAATATGGACTTGCATACAATTTAAAATAGTAATAATAATATTGATATAAATAATAATGAAACCACCATTATAAAAAGAATGTTGGTGGAAACTTAATGAACTATAAGTGGATAGTAGCATAGATAATACATGCAATAATAACAATAATCTTTGCTTATACTCTGCAGTTCAGACTGCTGATTTAAAAAGTTTATGGGTTCTTCCCTGACGTCTGACTCTCTCTTCACACACAACTACCCGTAAGAAATACGGTGGTATGATAGAATTTTTATATTTAGTATGTGTACGAGCATAAACTCTCATGAATTTCAGGATTTTCATCATGAGCTGACATTAGTTAGAGAACCATTGGGAAACCTGCAAGGAGTACTGGACAGCTGTTTCGTCCTAGTTTGGGACTCTTCATCAGTACGCACCCACCGGGATTCGAACCCAGGACCTTCTGGTTGCAAGGCGAGCTCGCATACCATTAAGCCACTAGGACCCGATCCAATGGCCCATGAATTCTAACTTCTGCCAATTCACGACATAGCGCGCTTAATGGTATACGAGCTCGCCTTGTAACCAGAAGGTCCTGGGTTCGAATTCCGGTGGGTGCGTACTGTTGAAGAGTCCCAAAATAGAATGAAACAGCTGTCCAGTACTCCCAGGTTTTCCAATGGTTCTCTAGCTAATGTCAGCTCATGATGAAAATCCTGTAACCAATCAAATCCCTACAAACCAACACTTGAATCTCATGAATTTCCTTCTGGTTTCACACCCAAAGAGATCCATGGCGACAATTTGAGAATAAACAGAGAGGATGTTCAGTATCAGACAAGATAACTTTAAGCCAAATTGTTTGCAAGAATGGAATTGAAATGCCTATTGACAATCCTGTCAGTTAGTTGAGTCAAAGGTACATATACACCACTAACCCTAATTACAAGTCTTCATTGTCCTACGTAATATGACATAGTCGTTTTTTGAGAAGTTCAGGGAAGAATAAGTGAGGCGAACAATAAAGAAGAAGGGGAGGAATACATGTATTAACAGAATGTAAGCGAAGAGGGTGATTTATGTCGGCAGAAAATCTCAACTTCTTTATGTCGTAATAAGCAAACAAAGATTTAAAAGTCAATCTGAACGAAGAATATTCTTTTCAATAATTTCTCTACTTCAGGTTCTTACAATTAAAAAATATGCAATATTTGTTGTCGTTACAATATAGGCCAGTTATGCGGCAATTATTATTACTATTATTCGTCATAATTTATGCCCTTCATGCAAACATCCTCTCAATACTATCGAATTTTCTATCTATACTATCCGGACTTATTATTAGTGATATTATCTCTTTTCTCAATATATGCCTCCACCTGTTTCATTTCATATATTCCTTATTTCATTATGAACCTCTCATTGCAGTCTTACTATCTCGTTTTTAATTCATACCACTTAGTACTAGCCACTCCACCTGACACCTTTTATAACCTTGAACTGACTTGTCGATTTTCCTACCCCACACTCTACAAATCTATTATGATTAATCACCACCACTGTCTCCCGTTTTACAATATTTTGTAATCGAATTCAGCCCAGAGCACGTTTGTCACACAAATATGACTATTTATTTTGACACCCCATAACTAC